GAGGGTGTCTGCTTACAGTTGGCCCGTATCAGAAGGATGCTAGATGAGGATGCAAGGGCCGTGGACGCCCATTTCGAAGCTTCTCGAGCAGGGCGCGGCCGACGAACGTGCCCAAGCATGGACCGAGGAGCCAGGGATACAAGGGCGCCCTTGGGAAGGTCGCCCATCCTTACTATGCGGGTTGACTGCTTCCTCCCCTGAAACCCCTTCTGCCAGCCGCCGACACGGCCCGAGAGCTGCGGCGAGCCGCGCGAGACAGCTCGCCGCGAGACCGCGGCGCGCCCCTCGCAGCGCGCGTTGCGCGCGCCGCGCAAGGTCCTCAGAGGCGCTCGAGGGCCGTCGGAGGTGCTCGTCGGAGAGCGGACGGCGCCGAAGGACGCTCAAAAGAATTGGCACAAGCCTTAGGTCGGACATGTCCTCCTAAAGGTGGATGTTCGATAATTTCTTCTGAGAACAAAAATAAAAACAATCAACAAAGCAAAAGAGCACGACTCATCGTCCCGACATCTTTGTCAGCTGATTTTTGAGTGTGCCTGCTGTAGAGGTACATCCCCGACTAAACACAAGCCTCATGGATCGCAATATTTGTCCGCATCCTCTGGGCTTTCGTCTTACCCTCCACTTGCCATGTTTGCCAACATCTTCTCCCCGGTGCATCGACGACTCCTTGCGTCGGTCTTGCTGCTACTCTTGGCGAACAAAACGAACAAACGACGGCACGAGCATAAACTGGCAGAGTCAGGTCGGGCCTGTCCCCCTACAGGAGGACATTGGGCAACGCACAGAAAATGCAAAAACGACAAAATGCCCCGGCATGGCAACAACAACAAAAAAACAGCAACAACAACAACAACAACAACAACAACAACAGCATCAGCAACAACAGCAACAACAACAGCAGCAACAGCAGCACCAACAACAACAACAACACCCACAACACCAACAACAACAACACCCACAACACCAACAACAACAACAACAACAACAACCACAACCACAACAACAACAACAACACCAACACCAACACCAACAACACCATCATCATCAACAACAACAACAGCAACAACAACAACAAACAATACTGCAAAAGATCGTCCCCTGACTATTCCTGTGACTATTTTTCCATACACCTCCTGTAGCGGGACAGGGCCACACTTCCTGGCAGAGGTGCGCGCGGGTCTCTCGGATCGGCGCTGCACGCCCCGTGCCCGGCGTGCGGCGCCAGGGGCGGCGCCAACGCCGATCCAAGAGGGCCGCGCGAACCTCAGCGAAATTGCGCGCGAATGGATTTTGCTTGCCGAACCTGCGGGGAATTCGTGGAACTTTCGCAGATCTACGCAAAATCAAATGAGTGAATCCGTACTCCAGATTTGAGAGAGCGTGATCCACCGCCGCTTTACTGTGGAAAATTGCCAACCTTTTCCTCCGGAGCCCGGGGTTCCCCCCCCCCCCCCTCCGAAAATCCCCCATCCCCTGCTGGAACCCCTCCCCCCCCCCCCCCCTCTCCCGTGGCCAAACCCCCCCCCCCCCCTAACCCCTCCCCCCCCCCCCCCCCTTTCGAAAACCGGGGGGTCACTACCGGTTCGACCCCCCCCCCCCCCCCCCCCCCTACTCACCGCCAGCAAACGACTCCCGGTCCCCACCACCGTCCGCATCACATCCCCCACTGGTGTTCCCAGCACCACTGTCCTCACCACCACTGTCCCCACTGGTTCCACCACCGTCCCTATTGTCCCCACCAGTGCCCCCACCACTGTCGCACTGTCCCCACTGTTCCCACAACTGTTCCCACCACGGTTCCACTCTCCCCACTGTCTCCACGGACCCAACCACTGCCTATCCCCACTGTCCCCACTGTCCCACTGACTCCTCCGCTGTCCCACTGAGCTGTCCCACTGTTCCCACCACTGTCCCCACTGTCCCCACCACTGTCCCCACTGTACCTCTGTCCCATTGTCCCACCGCCGTCCTCGCCACCGCCTTTACCAGTGTCCCCACCACCATTGTACCCTCCACTGTCCCAGTGTTTCCACCTCATTCCCACTGTCCCCACACCACTGTCCCCACCACCACCGTTCCCACCACTGTCCACTGTCCCCCCTGTTCCCACCATTGTCCCCACCACTGTCCCCACCACTACCGTCCCCACCACTGTCCCACTGTCCCCCCACTGTCCCCACCACTGTCCCGCTGTCCCCTCACCACTGTCCCCACCAACACCGTCCCCACCACTGTCCGCACCCCCACTCGGTTTTCGAGGGGGGGGGGGGGGGGGTTCGAACTGGTAGTGACCCCCCCCCCTTTTCATGATGAGCTGGGGGGGGGGGGAGGGGTTCGAAGCGGTAGTAACCCCCCCCGGTTTTCCGGAGGGGGGGGGGGGGGGGGAGGGGTTCGGACCCGTACTGACCCCCCCCGGTTTTCCGCCAGCAGCGGTAGAACACGCTCTTTCCCAGATTTCGTGATAAAGGGAGGGGGGTCTCATTTCGGGGGGGGGTCTCTTCCAGACCATCTTGGAGGGCCTGGGGGGGTCTGGGGACAATGTTTTGGAGGGTCCTCCCACGGGGGAGGTCTGAAATGGCTTGTCTTGGAGGGTCCAGACCCCCTCCCTTTTACTACGAAATCTGGAGTAGTTTTGTTGAAAAAAGGGTGGACGCGAAAACCAATGGAGGGGTACATCAACTCTGCAGTCGATCCCCCCAGTGGAGTGTTGGGCTCTTCGAGAAAAAGGGCCAGCCGAGACCACGGCGACCCTGCTTGGCGCTCTGCACTCCTCCTCGGGCCTCCTAATCAGAGCCTTCTCGCCTCTGCGGCCGGATCGCCCACAGAGAACGTGGATGGGGTCCTCCGAGTAGGGTCAGGGGGACGTAAGACCTGGGTACAGGGGACTCGGAAATCCCCGACGAGGTCGTCAAAAAAATGACGAGGCCGAACCTGCATTTTGACGAGGCCTCCCGCTGCAGACATCCCACGAAACTCCTCCTCGTCAAAATCCGAGGCGCGGTCGTCAAAAAACGATGGCGAACCCGAGTCCTGGCAAACCCGGGTCTTACGCTCCCCCGATAGGGGGACAAACTTAGAGTGGCGTTTCCCCTTCAGATTCGGGCTATTCTACTTGCATGGCATGTGCCCGCCCCCCCCCCCCTCCCCCCAACCCTGCCGCCTTGTCCAACAGCGCTGGGGCTGGGCCCAAAGGGTGTGCAAGCGCGTGCCAATTTGCGTAAACTCCGAGCTTCCTCTCGGGCCCCGCTACCCCCCCCCCCCTCCATGCAAGCAAGCTTCCCAGAACCACCTCAAACATATCGGCGATCTACTGACATGGGTCAGTGCAAACCCAGGTCAGTCGGGCCTTGCAAGGTCCTGCAGGATCCTGCAAGTTCCTGCCCGATCCTGCACCCAAGCCCGGGTCATGGCACCCCTTGGTCTGCAGGATCCTGCAACGTCTGGCGCTCTGGCCGACACCCGTTTGCACTGCCCCCCGTCTCTTGAGCCCCGACCCTCCATGCCAGCCAACGTGATTACCCAAATCTAAAAGAGAAACCGCCTCAAATCTACTGATACCGCCACTCCCGGGACCTCTCCCAGGCGGGGCCCAGATTGCCTGGAGAATCCGGGCGTGGCGACGAGGGCTCACCTCGGGCAGGCGGGAATGGCGGGTGACCTGAATGGCGGTGATGAAAGGGACTCGAACGGAACCCTGTAGGGCCCCTCTGGCTCAGTCTGGGGCCCCTGCTGGCTCCCAAAGGAGCCCTAAAAGGCCCCTTAAGGGTCCTTTTCTTCCCCCCCCCCATGTGGACCACACCCCATTACAGTGGAGGACAACACACAAGAAACCTTCCACGAGAAACCCAACCCTGAGACCCCAGGACGTCCATGGATTTAGTATGGTGTGGGAACGTCAAGCTTGCCATCGCAGAACCATCCAAACACCAAGAAACCCCGGGCACCCTGGAGGCATGCAGGGTGCTTCTTGGCCTGGGCCTCCACAGCACCGCCACCCCGATCACCAGGCTGGGCAGCGGCAGCGGTATCTCGTCCTCACTGCACGGTGTCCCCAGGGGCCCGTAGGCGACCCGAGGAGGAGGAGGAGGAGGAGGAGGAGGAGGAGGAGGAGAAGGAGGAAGAGGAGGAGGAAGGGGGGAGGAGGGGGGAGAGGAGGAGGGGGAGGGGGATGAGGAGGAGGAGAGGAGGAGGAGGATGGGAGGAGGAGGAGGGAGGGAGGGAGGAGGAGGAGGAGGAGGAGGAGGAGAGGAGGAGGAGGAGGAGGAGGAGGAGGAGGAGGGAGGAGGAGGCGGAGCAGGAGGAGGAGGAGGAGGAGGGAGGAGGAGGAGGAGGAGGAGGAGGAGGAGGAGGACGGCCGCCGCCTTCGGAGATACTCTCCAGTCCTCCCCTGAGGCGCGGGAGGCCCTCCCTGGCGGCCGCCAGCAGCCCTCCCGCGAGGCCCCTCGCGGCCCCTCCGAAGGCCTCCGGCGCTCCTCGGAGGTGTTCTCGGAGGCCTCCGGCGGCCTTCGGAGGCCGCCGTCCAGCTGGCCCTCCGAAGGCCGTCGGCGGCCCTCCGAGGGCCCGCCATAAGCCGCCGGGGGCCCGAGCCGAGGGGCGGCGCGAGCTGGCTGCCCGCCAGACCACCCCAACCCAACCCGAAGACCAGAGCTTGACCCGAACTTCGGGTTGGGGCGGGGGGGTGCGGGTTCCGCGTGTTTTTGTCAATGTTCCCCGATCTCCCCCCACTGGAACTGGATGGCAAATGGAAGCCTTCGGGCAAGGATGGGGTGGTTCGTGAGCCTTGTTGAACCGATCCCCATCCCCAGCGGCGTGGCGGGGGAGGAGGAGGAGGAGGAGGAGGAGGAGGAGGAGGAGGAGGAGGAGGAGGAGGAGGAGGAAAGGAAAGGGAGAGGAGGAGAGGAGAGGAGGAGGAGGAGGAGGAGGAGGAGGAGGAGGAGGAGGGAGGAGGGAGGAGGAGAACGAGACCGAGCTTGGTGGATGGGGAGGGGCGGCGGCGGGTCCTGCGACGGCGGCGCCCAGGCGCCCTCCGCCGCCCGCGGGGCGTCCGCGCGGCCGGGCGCCTCTCGCGGCGGCGCGCAGGGGTCCTTCCTCCCTCATCCTCCCACTCCCCCGTCATTCTCCCCCTTTCCCTCCTCCTCCTCCGCCTTCTCCTTCTCCCCCTCTTCCTCCTCCTCCTACCTCCAAGAAGGCCCGGAGGCATTTGAATGGGTGCCCACCCCCGTCACCACGGGGGAACCCCAGGCGCTGGGGTTATGGTCCCTCGACCCCAGCAACGAAAAAAAACAGCCCTGGCACGGGCCCGGAGTCGGCGAGGCACCGCGGGGGAGAGCGGCCTGGAGTGGTGAGATGTGGGGCGAACGCGTGTCTACGCTGGTGGACCGCGTGCTCTCCTCTGCCATTGGGGAAACCGTCGGCGAAACACTAGGGAAGGGCCCTCTGGGCTCTTCTTGGGGTTTGATTCGAGCCGTTGGGCGTTTTTTGGGGAGCTTTCTGGACGTCCCCCCTACAGGTGGATTTTGGACGAAAAATGAAGAACACCCCCAGCAAATTTCAAACATCAATCGAAGAATTATCGAGCAAAAAACCGTCCCCAGGCCATTGTTTGACTATGTTTGAGTAGTCCTCCTGTAGAGGGGCACGCCCGACTTGAGCCTGGGGTCGGCGGTACCCCGCTGATGGATGGGCGACAGGCCCCCGATGGCGGATCCACACGCTCCTGGGCGGGATGGGGCCACGAGGCCCCTGCCAGCGATCCGTGGCGGCCGGGGGTGAGCCTGACCTCAAGTAAGTCGGGCATGTGCCTCTTCAAGAGGAATGTGCACAAATGGCTGAAAAATACTCTGGGGACGATTGCCCGACTATTCCTGACCATGTTGGAATATGTTTTAGCCATGTCTCACTTTTCATTCAAAGTCCGCCTGTAGGGGGACATGCCCGACCTAAGCCTGACACCTCTCCCCTTTCGAATTCTTTTTGCGTCGGCGGCTAGGCAGGGTAACTGCGCTGGCGAGGGCCACCTGAACTGGGTTACCGTTGTAGCGAATTGTGCCACCGTGCAGGAGTCGGGTCGGGCGAAAGAGGGGGATAGCAAAGGGGGGGCTTGAGAAGGGGGGGCTTGAGAATCAGCTCACGTTGCTGATTTCCCCGGCACCTCCCGGCGCCGGAGGCGGCCATGTATCGAGGAATGGGCCCCTCGGTGAGGCCGAAGCCAACTGCATGCAGCAAATCTCGAACCCCCCCCTTTCCCAATCCCCCCCTTTCGCCCAGCCCGAGCTTGGGAGTCGATGCGTCCCCCCCAGCCTGGGCCTGGGCGTCCGGGGAGGGGGAGGAGGGGGAGGAGGAGGAGGAGGAGGAGGAGGAGGAGGAGGAGGAGGAGGAGGAGGGGGAGGAGGAGGAGGAGGAAACAGGAGGAGGAGGAGGGAGGGAGGGGAAAAAAGCAGAGCAGGCGGCCGAAAGAGGGGGGGGCGGCAGGAGCGAGCCGTGCGGCGGGACGGGTCGCGCCCCGCGCGTGCCCGCTGTCCACTGCACGCAAAGAGCGGCCCCGTGGGCAGGAGCGGGGAGCTGTCGGGGGAGCCGCGGCAGGGCCAGACCGAGCACGCGAGGCGCCGCCGCGGCATCGCGCTCGGCGATCTTGAATGGGGCCCTGGGACACACAAGTAAAGACACACAGATAAAACGACTCCCCATAGTTTCCCATATTTTCTGGGCTTCTGTCTTCCCCCCACTTCCCATATCTTCCCATCTTTTCTGGGGAATCGAGGGTTCATTGTGTGTGAATGTGTGTGTGCGTGTTTTTTTCCCCTCCTGAGATCTGGGACCCCCCCCCCAACGAAAGCCCGCATGCAGTGTCGCTCCCGCAGACGTGTCGGCCGGGCGGAGGCAGGGAGAAAGCCGCCGCCTTCGAGAGTGTTCCTTTTTACCCCGTATAAGGCGAAACCAGGACGAGGACAACATCGGGCGAGGAGAACTCGAGAACCATCTGGGCCCCCGGGATGTCTTGGCCTTCCAAGAGCGTTGCGGAACGCTCAAAAACGATCGATAATGCTGTGTCTGTCATGCAACACGCCGAAGCGCGCGGGCGAAGGAACATACTGCCAGCCTGATGTCTCCGCTTTGCGGGAGCAGCGACGCCTTTGCTGCCTCTTAGTCTACATCGCCAGCGGCTGGGGGGGAGGGGAGGAGGAGGAGCAGCAGGAGAATAAGCAATCTCACATACGAATTTGCGCCAAGCGACTGGATCACGAGCGCATGCCATCATCTGCTCCTGTGTATTCAACTGCTGTGTTCAAGAATGCTCTGGAACGTATTTATCCTCGACCATGCGCCGTCCGATCGCAGCGTTTCGCTGTAGTCGAAGCTAGGGGGTCAGGGTGCGCTACAGGGATGCAAGCGCCTTGGCCGTCCAGGACGAGGCTTATTTTGAGCGGGGCTCGCCATGGAACGTGGTTAAAAATCGACCCAAAAGTACAGTGAAGGCCAGCCCACAAGAAACCTCCCACAAGAACCCCAACCCTGAGACTCCAGGACGTCCATTGATTTTTGGTGTGGGAACGTCACGATCCCCAGAACAGAAGCATCGAAACCCAAGAACCCCGTGGCACCCTGGAGGCAGGCAGGGTGTTTCTTGGCCTGGGTTCGCCACCGTGCGCTTGGGAAAGCTGTCCATCCTTACCATCGGTTCCCACTGTAGCGTTTCGCGTAAGAAGGTTCGCATGGAGCCCCCCCCAGAAAAACACAACAGAGGACCCCCCAGCGGCAATATGTATATCCACATCCAGGGCGTCTTGGGTTTTCGTGGAAGGTGCGCCGCAAGGCCGAGGCGCACTGGACATGGATAAAAAATTCGAGCCTCTCTAGAAGGGGCCTGGCTTTTATATCCATACCCAGTGCTCCGCGGCGTTCTGGGGAGGGGAGTCCGAAACCCCAAGCTGCAGTGGATATGGACACAAGTTTTGTTCGCCGATCGCCTTTGCGCGGCGCCAGGCTTGAACGGGCTGTTTTTGCGGCGGCGACCGCGTGGCCAGGGTGTCCCGCTGCAGGGGTCGTTCGGCCGTCCGCGCCAGGGCGCCCAACTCCGCCAAAAAAAATCCACTGGCACGCAAACACCTACATTTTTGTTGTGCCTGCACCCCCCGGAGCAGCAGTGGGCGACGTCTGAGCTCAAGATGACCTCATCGCTGCACCCGCGCGACTCGCGGGCGCGCAGGCTCCGCGCGCGAGCGGTGCTGCCCGTTGTGCCAGCGCGCCCCTCTGCAGTGCACAGCCGTGCTCCCTGGCGTTATGTCGGGCGTGCCCCCCTACAGGGGGATGTCCGACGAAAAATTAAAAACAAAAAAACACAAACAAAATAAACAAAAAAGGTCAACAAATACTAAAAAAATAGTCCCCAGGCTGTGCTTGAACTATTGTTTGATTATTCTTGGGGTATTTTTTAATTTCTCGTCGAGATTCCATCCCCCGGTAGGGGGGCAGGCCCGACTGAAGCCTGGCGTTCTGCCACCTCCGGGGGCACTCCGCGCCAAAAACGGGGTCAGACGTAGGGCTCGTGCAACTACTGGGGGACTCGGGTTTGCCTGACGGGCCGTCGTGAAAGTGACAAGGCCCAATCTGACATGTGGCGCGAGCTCCCGCTGCAGACATCCCACGCAAATCCGACCGTCGAAATCCAGGACGTGCTCGTCAGAAACGTCGGCAGACCCGAGTTCTGGCATACTCGTCTCTCACGTGCCCCCGAAAAACTGACGACTGCAATGGAGGGAAGTGAAGCCGCCATGAAAGAGAAGGCATAGCCAGATTCGTCTGACCTGCCCTCCACCTTTGGCACGAGCGGGCCCTCGTCCACTTCCAGGGCGAGGGACGTGAGCGCAGCCGCTGGAGTACCGCTCTCTGCGAGGCGCCCTGGCCAAGTGCTTCAGAGTTGCAAGCGGGCACAGCAAAAATACAGCAGGAACCCGTCCACCAGAAACTTTCCGCAAGAAACCCAACCCTGAGACCCCAGGACGTCCATGGATGTTTGGTGTGGGATCGTCACACTCCCCGTCGCGAAACCATCGAAACCCAAGAACACCCCCAGGGCACCCTGGAGGCAAGCAGGGTGCTTCTTGGCATGGGCTTCCACTATATAGAGGTGTCCTAGCGAGAGGGACGGGGGCCGGGGGGGGGGGCCGAGAACGCCTGGGTCCCCCATCTGGTCCAGCGGCCGTTTCGCCTGCGACGTCCTCAACAACCATTCGGCAATCTTGGGCGCGAATTAGTGGGGACGAGAAGTTGGGAGGGGAGAGTGGTGCCCTTCTCAGGCCCTAAAGGACCTCTCCTGGGCCCTAATGGTCCCCTGCAGGGACCCTGGCAAGCTCCTCTTCGGCAGCCGTCGCTGCCCCCCACCCCATTCGTATCGCCCCCCCCCCCCCCCGACGCGGCCTCCAAGAATACGCTCTGGACTCCATGCCGGCTACAACTTTGGTCCTGACGGTGAAACGAACATGACCGCGATCACTGGCACCTTGCAGGTTCCGCAGATGACATACAAGCAGGGTTCCGCAGGACGAAGGGGAGGAGGAGCATGAGAGAGTGGACGAGGAGAGCAAGGACGCCTGGCCACGAAGGCCGAGTTGAACCGCCAGCCGAGAGCTTTGGGGGGGCCACTGGCAGCATCGAAAACCCTGCCAGGCTCTCCGCCCCCTCAGGGCCCCGTAGACCCGGACACGCTAGACCCGGACACCCAACATCCCTCGAAACCAATTTTTCCAAACGGCGGCACGAACAAAATACTGCACTGCAGCATTTTCAGAATAAACCCGGACACAGGCCTCCGTAGCCTGCAAGACCCCCTTAAACCCGGACGCAATCCCGAATCCTGCAATGCAGCAAACAAAACATGCACGGGTGCTGAAAAACGTAACTTTGCAGGAAAGGAAGACGTTTCCTTGGTCTTCCGTGTCCTGGTTATCTGTGTCCTGGTCTCCGGGGGCCTGACCCCCTGCAGCGCCCGCTGCCGGGGGAGGGGGTGACCGGCCCTGCGGGCGCCGCGGAGCCCTCCTCTGCGCACCAAGGGCAGGGCTGC